CCCCAAAACCCCAAAACCCCAAAACCCCATTATTCAAAATTTGATGACTATCAAGAAAAGAACTATAAATTTAAAATTAAATGGATATTTAAGGCAGAAACTCAATTGATGCGAGAAGGTAATCACAATAAGTAGGGAATAATCGATCTTTTCTTAACTAATCTCTAAATAAATCAAAAGTATTGCCAACCTCAAGACAGTAAGATTGAATTTTTATTTTATTAATAACCTTTACAGAACCTAGCAGCTTTATCGGACTGCAACCTTAGAAAATTCAAGAGCATAAGAAAAAAAGAGAATTATATTTGGAGTTAGAAAACTTGTGTCTTCTAGCGATATGCATTTAAGCTAAGGAGGGAAATAGTTCACAGAAACGACATTATTTACATAAAATGAAGAAGAAGAATCTGAAAAAATTGTTAAGAAAAAAAATTGTGTTGATTATATCCTAATAAAGGAAAATTCAAAGTGGAAAGCTGCTTGGGATATTTATATAAACCTACTGGTTGCTTTCAATTGCTTTCTAACAATATACTAAGTTTGCTTCAATGTTACTAGCTCAGTTGAGCTCGATATTATTGGCTATATAGTTGAAGTTTGCTTTTTTACAGATATTGTTATGAACTTTTTAACAGAGTATAAGGACCCAGAAACTTATGAAACTGTAAGATCAATCGCAAAAATAGGCAAGAGGTATGTTTTTAAAGGATGGTTCATTATTGATTTCATAGGTATTATTCCATTTCAATACCTTCTCGGTGGAGGACAAAAAATGCAAACTAAACTTATTAGATTATTCAGACTTCCAAGACTTGTTAAACTGATTGATATTTCAAGATTTAACTCTTTGCTGAAATCCTTATTTGAAAACAATTCGTAAGAAGAAAGAATTATGATGCAATACTTGCTGATGTATGGCTATAAGATATTTAGACTATTTATAATCACCTTCATTATCACCTACTTTAGTGGATGTGTTTGGTATCTAATTGTTGAGGAATACAAAGATTAAGATCAGGTCTCGTTTTATTATAAGAATAAACTAGATGATATGGACAATACTTCAAAGCTTATCATTTCATGTTATTTCGCTTTGACAACATTAGCCACTGTTGGGTACGGAGATTATTACCCAATAACAGATCTAGAGATCATGACTGCTGTAACTTTAATGCTTTGTGGAGTAGCATTCTTTTCGTATATTATGGGTTCATTCATTGAAATTATCTCGAATTATCAAAAGAAAATGGGAGTTGTTGACAAATCAACTTTCCTTCGAAATTGGCTAACTCTCCTAACAAGATTCACAGGGAACAAGCCACTCTCAAAGAGTCTTAATAATCAAATAGAAGCTCATTTCGCATATTTCTGGTAGTATGATAGATTAGCATCAATTCATTAGCACTATGAGACACTAAATGAATTACCAAAGACTATGAAAAGGAGATTCATGACTAGCTATCTTTTCGAGGATATTTTCCATAAGTTCAAACATTTTTTTAAGACCTATGAGAATAAAGAATCTAAATTTCTCTATGATATCTCATTTGGATTCATGCCTAGATACTTCAATCCTGATGATCCTGATGATAAGGTCTTATATGATGAAGAAAGCGAGATCCCAGAAATGTATTTCTGTCTCGAGGGTAAAGTTGGAATAGGCTACTCTATATTTGGCAGAGGGCTAGATTCTAAATAATACAAGCTGGCCAAATTTTACAAAAAAGAATTCTTGCTGTGCGATCATTACGTTGTTAACAATAAAAGATCTGAGTTTATTTACATGGTTTTGAAACCAATTAAGTGTTTTGCATTAACTAAAAGATTTTTGCATCACGAAATTTTCCCAAAATACCCTGAACTAGCAAACTAATTCAAAGCTGAAGCTTTACTAAGGTATAGAAAATCTCTTAAAACTCCCCTTATGCTAAGCATGAAAAAAGAATATGAGGAATTAAACAAGAAAAATGTTTACAGAGTCTTTGAGTTTAAGGAAAAAAAGCAAGATTAAAAATCATCTAGGAACAGAGAAGAGTAGAAAAGTAAGACATCATCAAAGAATAAAGAAAGAATAATGTCCTATGGTTCACTTGCTAGTGAAGATTTAGAAAAACTTGCGAATAGAAATAAGACTAAAAAGGATTAAGATGCTTAGCTTAACTCTCAACTTAAAATGAAGATGGAGAACATTTAGCAAGAAGTTGTTAAGTTTAGTGACAACATTGATAAATTCGCAAGTATTTGCGATGATGAGCTCGAACAACTCCTTCATAATATTGACAATGTCACAACATCAATAAATGATCTAAGAAAGAAAAATATGCAGCTTCCTTAATGAGATGTTAAATGGAATCTTTCGATAGAATGTTTTGCTTATATAACTATGAACTTTCTAATCTTAATTTCATAAATTATTATTAAATTTCAACTTTGGGGTTTTGGGGTTTTGGGG